TCTCTAGGATACCGCGGCAGTCGGAAAATGTCAGTTTTTGATTCATTCATTCATTCGAATAAAAACGAAATTAGTTAGTGCTTTAATGCGATTCTTTCAGAAAGGTTGAATTCAAGGACACCCTGTATAATCGCTTTTGGTTAAATCCACATATTATAACCTTTTTGCTTGACCTCGTATAAAAACCCAAGTATTTTGAATGGTTTCTTGGGCCTTTTTAATGAACCAAACAAAGCATAACAAGCAATATGACACTTTATGTGTGCTAAGAACGATTAACTATCGAAACATTCTTTCACATAAATTAAATTATTTTTTTAAAGCTTATTGCAGTTGTTTATCGGGGCATTATGAACATAACCGCGTATTTAAAAAAAAATTTAAACTTTTATGTTATAAGATACCAACCACTTTGCAATTGCTACTGTATTTGGTCGCACATTATCATTTTCAAATGATTATTCAATAATGCTTGGAGACTAGTATTCAGGAACGTTGCATGCATGCAAAGCGGTGTTTTTGAAAATGCTTTTAGATCTGTATGGTAGACAAGTGTCTTGGGTGGCCAAAAAAAATTAAAGATACAAAACCGTATTACAGCGTTTTTATGCATGCTGGCCTGTATTGAATGATATTTATTAGGTCCTTTTTAGATCAAGGATTGTGCTTTTTCGAGCGTTCGCCTATGCGATAAACAAGCCATAATAAAGCGATTGAATGGTTGTTTAACGATTTGTTCATCAATAAGCCTCGATTATTGTTGTCAAATATTTTCAAATGTTCGGTTTAATCAGTTAAATGAAATTGTTGGAAAGTTACGTTTTTTCAAAATTTTTGGTGTACACAATCGATTTTCTTTTACTGAATTTGTTCGGGCGCAAGTTTTTGTCGTTGGAGTTTGGAAGGCATTTGTTCAAAAAGTTACAGAAAATAGACTGACAAATTTAATTGACAAAATAATTAAAAACGACTTTTATTCATCGTGGATAGAGAGTTGGGCTAGAATACATTTGCTGGCGGTGAAGTGAATAGTTTTTGCTAAAATTCCCCAGACACGCTAATGTTTTAATGCATTTTCCTACATTTTACAAGAAGGCAAATCCTATCTTATTCAAAATAGATAGAACAAAATACAAAATTGGTTTTTTTTGCCATTAAACGAGATTGCAAATATTAGCGATTAATTGAATTTAACCTGATGATAAAGACTTGTGTGGTCCGGCCCTGGCAACTGTTAGTTGAGCTGAGGTAAAACAGATCATGTATTGTCTAAAAAACAAGCATGGCTCTTGATTGAATTTTGGCTCAAGTTCTACACTCTGATTGAGCGCTTATTTATGTTGAATTTATTCCAATACATCGACAATGCTCATTAGCTGTAGAGAGTTTTGACAAAAGCATCTTAACATTGTTTTTCGAAGTAATGTGTTTTCTAGTCAAGCTATTTACTTAGCGTTTTTCCTGTAAAATGTTTACGACATTACATATTACAAGCCGTTGGAAAGATCTTCTTGCCAGTGATCCCGGAAAGAGAATGTGAATATTTTTCAAAATATTTTTGCTTAGTGTGCGTTGCTTAACATTGTTATTCGGACTTTCCCGGAAAAACTACAACAATATTTTTTTCTGTTTTTTAACTCTACATTTTTCCTCTATGTATACTTCAATTTACACCTGGCTGTAAACACAGAAGTCCTCGCCGCCTCTGCTTTCATTAACTACCCAAAAAAATCGGGTAATACTCAATAATGTAAATCCCGAGAATAAACGTCGGTTTACACCATTGCCAAAAATAAAACGTTTCGATTATCTGTTTTAAGTTTTGCCTGGGGTTTTCGAAGTACCTAGTCGAAAATATGTTTAGTACAATCACAATTAAATTTGACCAAACGCGAAATTTAATTGCTTCAGAAAAGAACATCGGCAAGAAACAGTATGAAAATACACTGGTTTCGATATGTTAATATTGCGGTATAATTTAATCAATATAAATCCGGAAATTAAACAAGTTTCCTCATAGAGAAATGGGGACTTTGATCGATTGGAAAAATGATATTTTATGCATGTTCATCTAAAAATACTCCAGCTAGCTCAAGTCGGGAAACAACCTGTAACGTTAGAGCCTTTCAGGGTGCAACAACACGCACAGGTTGACCCACTTTTGCAATTCCTCCAGGAGTCCAGGTCGAGCCCTTTACATCCCGGTCAAGGCGAAATACGCGACCCACATAAAGCAAGGACGACAACCGTCTATTCGGGGTTCAATCTAAATCCTTTCTGGATGCTGGAAATTTATGGGATTTGCAGCAGTTTGAGGGCCAAAAATTATCTTGTTTGTTAATCAGCTGGATTCTCATCATTTCATTTTCGTTTTCAAACAAGAAGTTTTATAAAAAATGGTGTGCCTCACGGGCTCGACAGAAGTGATAACTTCATAAAATAATAGAAACCATAAAATATTGAACTTGTTTAACGCATGATGGCAATAATTATTTTATTTTATAGTTTTAATATTCTTGTTAGTCTGATAATTTATAAATGGATCAGGAATAGCTAAAATTTAATTTAATTTCCTTTTGAATGTAAAATATCGTTTTTATTTGCAACATTTAACATTCTTTAACGAGATGTTGTACATATTGCTCTTCTTGGGTTTGTGTAGACTCTTCTTCTTGAGTTTCTGTATTTTTTAGTAGTAATTTCTTATTTGCTTTGTATAATCTTTGACGTTCACCACTAGTTCGTGGTTGATGAAAGCTACTTTGAGTTGATCTATTACTTAATGCCCCTTTTTTAGCACGAAATCGTTTTTGGCGTGCAGCATTACTTAATACATTTCGCATTGTAGCATGTTTTTGTGACTGCTCTTGTGTATGTTCTTCATGAACGTCTGCTACAACTTGTATCTGAATAGGACTAAAAAATCAATTAATTTTGGTGATTGGAAGACGTTCTATCTGTTTAAAATAGACGG